TTTCGATCGCTGCAGAACAATTTGAATGGAAAAAAATTTAAAAATGTGGAAGACGTCAAAAACAACCTTGACACCTTTTTCAACGAGAAACCGCGCGATTTCTATGAACCAGGCATCCGCAAATTGGTTGAATGTTGGGAGTGGATTGCCGAACATGATGGCGAATACATAATTGATTAATAAAAGCGCTCTCTTCAAAAAATTTCAATTTTAGTTTGCACTTGAAATCGGTCACGAACTTATGCACTCATCCAATATTTATGTACTCGTAGAACCCACATAACTAGTATGAAAGTTTGTCTGTGTGAAACTTCATACCCAAGTTTTTATAAATCAACGAAATGCTTAAATAAAAACTGATTTCAGCTAATTAATCATCGCTTTTTACTGGGATTGTTGATTTTAACTTGTGAGCTGATAAACATTTATTTACAATTAAGCAAAAGTGGTATATACAAAACTGTGTATACATGTGTGTGTATAAACATAAATATGTATATGAGCCATATGAACAAATGAAGAAAGAAATTGTTTTTTAAATAGTCATAGGCTGCCTGGATAAATTTAGTTAAATATAATACTATTTACTTTGCAAGAATACTTTCATAACTACTTTAAAAAGTGGGCTAAAAGCTTTGACAGACTGCAGCGTTATACATATATATAATTAGCACTTTTTAACCGGCGATTCGATTTTCCGCCGAGCTCCACCTTGAATTTGTGGTTTTGCGTCTCGATGCTTTCCTAACAAAGCCACCTCCGAAAGGCTTTTTATGAGGAGCCTTTATGTAATGATTTAGAAAAATTAACTTACTTTTTCATTTAATAACGTTTCCGAGTCTTTCGAATGGCAATATGCAATGCTAACTACTCGGTTATTGCGGCCATGACTCAGATCAAAATTTGTGGGTGGCGGACAACAGAAATGGGAGTTAGTGAAGAGTTCATTAATATTTTCAGTTTGAATATTATTAAATGAAAATAGATAGAAGGCAAGCACTGCGATTTGTTATTATTCAAACTTCACCGCTATGCTTTTTTCATGCAGTTAAAGAGGATTCAAGTGGCAACAACGATAAGCCGGCGGCATTAAAATGGATCACGAAAATGGTGATGGTAGCGAAGGTGATACCGGTGGATTTTGGTGATGGTTCTGTCTATGTATGAATCCAGAAAACATTGATTTTTTTTTTAAATGTACATTGATAAATAAATACGTAAAATTTTTACCAAAGAACATATTAGCGTATATAATGCCGAATGACCGTACTTTATCCTATGATTTTAGTGTACTGCTGCAAAATATTTCCATTCCTATGGGCAACCACTCTGTGGACCTATCTGGCTTTTTTCCTCTTTGCAGTGAATTTTCTAATGCAGTTAATGGGATTTAAGGCTGTCATATGTCACGGCTATTAAGTCGTTAAGTGCTACAGGACCCGAGTAAAATGTGTTTAAACGTGCATGAATAGCTTAACTTTGCTTTCGAAGACAATTTACCCATCAACTACATTTTTCTAAAACTTAAAAATCGAAAAAAAAAATGTTTACATTATTCGAGTATGTATGTTTATATTTATGCTACAGATGTATGACTCTTCTCGTCATCATGGCACTCGAACATACTGGTACGTATGCGTACTAAAATTGTTTGATATCAATCGTCCGCCAAGTTTCAAAAAGTCGTGAAAGGAAAACGAAGTTACTTCAATTTAAAAACTTTTCATTTCTGATGTTCCACAAAAGTAGTGATTCCACTTCTCATTTTCCATTGCCTTTTTACTCACTGTTAACACCACTTCGGCTTCCTTAAAAGACTGTGCGTATGTACGCTACATAAATATTATATAATATGTGTGGCGGCCGCAGTAGCCGAATGGGCAACTGTTGATTCCATCATGCGGACGCTCTTACTAAAATCTTAAATTATAGAAAAATAATCAGCGTACCTTTAATGTACATACATGAAGCTGCATTTTAGCTTTGGTACAAAATATTTATGTACCAGAAGAAGCAGATATAGAGCTATCAAAATCTAAACTAACTAATTTCCCCTGGATGTTGTGCCAAGGTATATTTTGTACGCTAAAAGCGGTACTTTGCATACATAATGAATTACATAATGGTACTGAAAATTATTCAAATTGGACGGCTATAAAATATGTATGTATATGGTATGTCAAGCCCATCGATTGTAAGTAACAAAAAAGTGATCAAAAAATTCCATCGGCCGTTCCGTCTGGCCGCTATTGTCGACCGATAATCCGAGATGTAAACGAAATGGTGTACAGATCGCGCTCATTTTTAGCATAGTAATTAAAGACAGCGCCACCAACTTAACAAAAAAAAAAAGACAATATCCGGAAACTTTCTGGTCTTAATGTACAATACACCCACATCAGCAAAATACCACATATCCCTGCAAATCTATGTATGTGTTGTCAACCATTGGATCAGCTTGACTTCCGCTACCACCCTGTGGTGAGCCGAAAAAGAAAATGGATTTTTACACGTAAAAATGTATGAATTGAGTTGACATTTGTTTCGTTGTTATGTTATATAATATATTTATTGGCAACAAAAAATTGAATAAAATGTAAATGATAAATATTACGTTAGTATGTACTTATGTTATATGTATATGTATGTATGTTTTGACCAAAGCGAATTGTTTCCGAAAATAAGAGTTATGTATGAATGTCATTTTTGTAGTAGTTTTAAAACTGATTTCCCTGGACGATGTGCCAAGGTATATTTTGTGTGGATTGTGGTTAGTTTTGGATTATTCCATTGTCCGCATGGGGTATGTATTACGCGTTGTTTGCGGGATATCCACTTACTTGTATGTATGTGTGCCTATGTACAAAACGGTTATTGTTTTTTTGAGAATCAAAAAAAAATTATATATGAGTACACTAATTTAAGGTTATTGCAAAAATACTAAATTTTTGTATTTAATTTTTATTGTTTTTTTGACATAATTTTCATCAATTATGATTAATATGTTTAATGTTAGAAATATAAGAAAAAGTTTTACACATCTTTAGCATATACACACATACAGAAATGTGTATAGATATGTATGTGTGTATGTCATGTATGCAATTATATACAGTGAAATTTCCGGACAGCCCTTATAACCGGACAGCTCCAATAGCCGGACAAATTTTCACTAATTTTTCCACACAAAACTATTCAAATAACCGGACGCTCTAATAACCGAACGCGAACAATATATTTCAAACCATTTTGATCGAAAAATCTCTCATAAACGGACAAAATTGAAAACGAAACAAAAAAGTCTCAAACAAGATTTTTTTAAATCCCCATAAAGCAAATGCCATTCGTATTTATATTTACTAATGAAAACTATATAGGTGATTCCCCTTTTTACATGTATACGCACATTAATGCCGCATGTGTCAACTAGAGGGCAGAATTATCATTCAGTCTGCTAAGTAACAAGTTGCATATGAGTTGTGTTTTTGCAAAGCTCGTAATAACATGGCACCAAAAAAGAAAGTACTGTCTACTAAAGAAAAAATGATAATTATTAATGTGTTCGAAAGAGATAAATTGTCTGTGCGAGAAATTGCAAAAAGGTTATTCTCAAACAATTAATTGTTTTCAAAGATTCAATATAGGCAAAACACAAGCTGCAGAAATCAATAAAAATATAGAAACAATTATTTCTAAATGGAAGTCTGGAATTAATGTGCATCAAAAGCGAAGTTTTCTTAAAGAAGGCGGCTCTGAAATGGACAAAATGTGTTTTAATTGGTTCTCTAAGGCTAGAAGTAAAAAAATTCCTCTATCTAACCCTATTGCAAAGGCATAAGCAATGGGGATAGCAGTAAAATTGGGTGTATCTAATTTCAATGCTTCAGATGAATGGTTAAACAAATGGCGCAGCTGTTGATGGAGGAGGGTCGAGCAGTTCAGGGCCAAGCTGCCATCTCTGTTGCGCGGATACAAGCCTCAAAACATTTAAAACGCATATGAAAGCGGATTATTTTTACCTGAAAGAACTTTCGCTCTTAAATCCGAAAAATGTGTTAGCGGCGAATTCTCTGTTTATTTCATCAATACAATCCAAAACTGCTACCGTAAAGCAGGATTTTCGGAAATTGGTGAGAGGCTTTCCGATTCTGATCCCGAAGGTGACTTTCCGCTGGCAATCTATGCTAGAACTCACAAAGGACTCGATTGGGCAAATGATTTCGACGGTTTTCTCTAAATAGATCAAAACGTCTGCACTGAAGACAACAATGTAGAAATTCAATCTGTAGAACAAAGTGATGTTATGGACACTTCCGATTCAATGGAAGAATCTAATGAAGACATATGTGAGCCCATAACATCGTACAATGAGGCGTTAAAACTTGTTGAGCCCTTGAAACAATTTGCCAAAATTATTTTGTAGCTTTTCAACACATCAAAAATATCGAGAGTCATTTTGAGAATGAACATTTTAAATTAAAACAATCAATATTCAAGCAATCAACCATTACAAAACTTTTTCAACCAAAGTAGTAGTGAAATGTAAGGACTGTATGTATGTATGTACATGTATGACAACGTATGTAATTTATCTATATGTAAATGAAATAATATGTATGTTTGAATATGGAATATTTATTTAAACAATTAAATAAACGATAGCACACATGAAAGCGATTTAAACATAATTTTTGTGCCTCCCCCCCTAAGCGGACATCTCTCATAACCGGACAAAAACACTGCGACGGTGAGCATCCGGTTAAGAGGAATTTCACTGTATATACATATGTACACATGCATATTCAAAGGAGTTTGACATTTGGTGTGGTTAATGATGTCATTGCTAAACTTTTAGTTCCTCTCTGCTGCAACTGGTGATTGATTGACTGCTTTGTGGTAATATTACTGCTCAGACGCAAAATCTTCTTTGATGTTTCCATGTGATTCAAAGTGCCGAAAGAATACAGCTCGCCACCAGAGCAATTAAAGTTGTGAAAAGAAACTATGAGATTGGTTTTGACGTTTGCGCTACACAAACTAACGGTTGCCGATAACTTGGTCATCCAACTTTTTATGCTCATTGCTTGAGCAGTCATTGTTTTTCTTTCTTCAAACAAAACATTTTGATGGGCAGGGCCATACGCCCACAAAGTCAATTCCATTTACAGAAGAGGGCTACGGCGCCTATTCGGCGCATAGACCCTGCTATACGAGTATGTAAATTTGCTTAGTAGATGAATAAAATTGATTGGTTTGAAAGGTGTTGCATGTACATATTTGGATGAATGTGCATGGTGTGAACTTAAAATCACATAGAAATTGTTTGCTATTTCTATACTTGTTTGTGTTTCACTTCCTGTGGAAAATTGATAAAAAAATTTTTGAATTTAAGCAAAGAGAAAAGGGTTTTTCCAGCGGTTCTAGCTGACTTTAGTCGTAATAGAGTTTGTGAAAGGGATTATGGATATGGATCTAAATATTTTAAAAAATATCCTTTTACAAAGTGCAAAAAAAAAAACTTGGTATAAAAGACACTTATAATTTTTTACCAAGCCAACGATCCCAAACACACAGCAGAAATCGTAAAAGATTGGCTGCTGTATTATTGCCCCAGAGTAATCACCAGAAATGAACATAATCGGAAATTTTTGGCCAATAAATTGGAGAATGAAATAAGGAAACACAATATATCGAACAAAAATGATTTAAAAAAGGCCTTTTTGGAAGAATGGGTAAAATAAGCCCGGGGTATACAAAAAAAGCTAATAGAATCTGCCCTAAATCGTTTAAGGTCCGTTATTCGCCAAAAAGGATGATCAACAAAATATTAACAATAAGTTGTATAGTAATTTATTTAAATGTTGCTGTAGCGGACCATTTTCACTGCTACATGAATTTTCTCCTTTTATTTTGTTAAATGCTTATGTTAAAATAATATAAATGGAAAATTAAAATATTTTCTTGTATTTATAACTTGAATTAGATGAACTTATGAAATTTACTAGTGTTATTGCTATTTATTTCAATTTCCCATTTTGCATCTAAAAGCGGTAGGTTACAGGCGGACCATTTTCACTGTGAGTCACTGTGCATCCATCTTCTTGGAAACTTGAATTTTCAATTTACTTGGCCAATTTTTCTCCCATTTGGCCATTCGCCTTTCTTCCACGTTTTTATCTTTCACGCCTAACTTCATAATATAACGCCCTGTCAAAATTAAAAAATTCCATTCGAGAATTCGGAATAGCAGTAATAACTAAAAATAAAAAGAAAACCGGCACGTTTTTTATTTTCCATAGCAACAACGGCGTTTGACTTCATGTAATGAAGTTTTGTACATATATAGTGAAGCAAAAAAGAAATCGGCGAAATATTTGGCAGGCCGAAGCACAGTTCAGTACATTATCAAAAAAAATGGAAAGAACCCAGATCCGGTCAGCCTAAAGCACTTTCCGTAGCAAATGAACGTTAGCTAGTTGGACGAGTTCAAAAAAAAAAAACCAAAACCAAATATCACGATACTTAGCAATAACAATAAAGAATTTTTGAGAAAGGAGACAACGACACAGACCATTCCAAACTTTCTCAAAATGTGTGGTTATAGAGGCAGAACTGCACGAAAGAAACCATTCCATAAAAAAAAAAAAACTGAATTAAAAGGCGAAATATTGTAAAAAAAAAAACGGTATTTATTTTGGACAAATGTAATATTTGCGGACGAGAGAAAATCTAACCTATTTGGGACTGATGGTAGGATAATTCTGTACAGAAAGAAAAATACATATGTATTTTTAAACGAAAACAAACTAACTGTGGGATTTCCCTTTTTTAAAATGCCAAGCAACTGTAACACTACCAGATGTCCGACCTCTTTTTTGGCCAAAATTCTAGCATGCCACATGTTAATTTTTCGAAGTAAGGGTATAGGAGACCTACAAACTATTTAATTTGTTTGTTATTGGTATTTTTTAAATCCTTATTGGATAGAAGAACGTAAGATAGTTGCTATTGTTATAAATGGTGCTGATGGATTAATGATTGGGGGATGTACGACGTGGTCTGGTGTGGGAATTATTGAAGTAGTAAATGAAATAATGTATCACAAATAACTGAGCAGCGGCAATGATATTCAGTTCTATCAGGATAACGAGCCGAAGCATTATGTGCATATAACACCTCCACAAAGCCCAGACCTAAATCCATAAAAACATGTTTTCAAACAAGCAGCAGATGTAACAGATTTTAATGAAAGAATGAAGCAATATAGATTACACAACGAAATTAGTCCAATCAATGCCAAGGTCTTTGCTAGAGGTAATAAAACGTGGTCAATGATGACTAGATACGAAGCTCATTATTCCATGAGAGCGCTGAAAAATCCACATTATAACATTTCTGAACAGTGCCACTGTGCTAAAAAAAATTAAAAAATGAATTAAATTAAGTTTTATTAATAAAATTACAATAATTTCTTTAAGGGGCATACCTAGTGTAATGGCCCAAAAAAAGGAGATTTTTGGAAATTTTTATTAAAAAAATTCTTTATCAATTATTTCAAAGTTTTAAGAATATATTTATACAGGTTTCTAGAATATACAGTTAAATTTTTGAAGAAAAAAATTATATATTTTTTAAGTTAAAGTCGATCTCCAACGCCGCGAAAAAAAGGTCCTTCACTGCTGCAGTGATTCTCTCAGATGCAATTTGAGTGATTTTGAGTAAGTTTTGTAACTTGGCATCTTTGACGTGGTAGACGCACAACAAAATATTAAACTTTCGTTACTTTTTCCAAAGCTGAAGAAATAATTTGCTTTTCGATGTTTCGCAAAAGAATTGCGTTTTTGTTATTCTATTTAAAAATTTTTACTTCCAAAACAATAAAAACAGAAAAACAGATACCAACCGGCATTATTTCTTTTAAATTTTTTTGTTTCGTTCAGTTGCTATTATACCATTTTTTTAGGTTTGAGTTGATGACTATTTTTGACCACGTAATTGTTCATGATAGGGGCGTAATTCTTTGCATAACTTTGGGCGCTGGTTAATTGCTTCCTGTTATCGGAGTGTTTGTTTTTTGGCAAATTTATAGAATGCAGGGTTGCATCATTACAAAACGGTTGTCCCGCAGAAACCAGCGCCGATTTTACTTTTTCCCTAAAACGGGCTCAGCTCATATATGTCGTTGCTATACAAGGTTGCCAGTATTGACATGTTTAAACTAAAATTAAATAAAGTAAGAAAATGCGTAGTTTTTACATAAGAAATGAAATTCGTAATTAATTATTTATTACCATCAATATCATGTATATTTGATTGGCGTTTAAATTCAAACGTACAAATTATGAAATTCTTTGACGAAAGTTATAAATTTGTTCAAGTCTGCAAACACACTGGCAGCTGGCGACATTTCGCTGCTGTCAGTTGCGTCGATAAGTCGTGTATGCCCGCTCTTCCAATCGGCTCTTATGGACGGATGGTACGTAAGATGGGTAGTGACAGCATTAATCCTGCCTAAAGATTTTTTAGTCAATTAATGCCTGAAAGTATGAGGACTCCAAAGCAACACACAAACCACGCTATTAAGAATATAGCGGCTAAATTAGCGCCCTTATTAGTTGTTGGTTAATAATGAATTAAATAATACAACAGCAGATTACATGACTGATTTTGGCGCAGTGGTAGAGCACTCGGCTGTTAAGTCAAGATCCGTTAGATCGATGCCTGCTATAGTCTGATGAGAAGATGTGGTGATCTCCGATTTTCTCTGTTATATAACAAAATATTCAATTCATACAAACAAAAACCAGGCCTTTAGTTTACTTAATACTTATAACAAAGGAAAAGCAACTATGTAAGAGTTCTTGCATAGCAGGTCAATTATTCTGCTTCAACTAAGTAATCAAATTGTTTTAGAAAAATATATTTTGACAATATTGGTGTTGGACTTGTGATGAGAGGGAGACTCCGTCGAAGACTACGGGTATTCACTCCAGTAGATGGACGTCTCGCTATAAGCCACATCTAAGAAAAATTTTTCAAAAATGTAATCATCTATACTCCAGTGGAAATGTTTGTATTTGGTGCAAATGTTAAGTAAGTAGTAATTTTTGTATTTCCTGGGAAATGTAATGATGATTTGCCAACGGCATTTCGATCTAAATATTCTTGACCTATTCGCGATTTATTATGCAAAATTATAATAATTATTGGATTTAATATAATATACATATCTACAAATACGAAATTGTATACAATTGTGAAAATTTTTTTAAATTCGTTATTCTTTGTAAGTATTACTAATGTTATATATTATTTTCGCTCGTATCAACAAATGGGCATATATACGAGTACATGAATGCAACATATCTTATAGCCTATTTCCACCGGACCTTAAATGCATTTTAGCATAAATGTATTTAAACATCGCATTTAAATGCGGTAATTCCCATGTGTTTGTTGTTGTATAAAAGTGTTTAACTCACTTTTCAAAGTGAGTTAACTCACTTTCGGCAATTTAACAGAAAATGTTATGTTAACATTCGATGCTGCCACTAATGATGTAATCATTTCGAAAGTT